AATATATATATATATATAAATGCATTTCCATGCATTTTCCATGCCCTCTTTCATGCCGTAAGAAGCATGTTCTAATTTGGCAGATTCAAACAAAGGTGATACAGCATACAATGAAGGCTGACTATTGGAATTTTTTAATATACTGCAAGATAATATTTTGAAATTAACAACAAATCAATTTATCCATTTAACAAATCACATACCTCTTCTTTCTTCATAAATGTCAGCACTAATACTGCAAAGTGGGTGCCAAACACCAGGACTTGAAAACTCATAAACTGAAAAAATGTGCACAAATTATGTATAAACATAATATTAAACAAGAGAACAAAAACTTAAAAAGAACCAGAAACTCTAGAAATATTATCCTGCCTTTGTTATTTAGAGCCCTTATTTAGAGTCAATGCAGAAAAAGTAAGAAATATTTTCTCCTAAAAGCCCTCAGAAAGCTCAGTTACATCATTGTCACTGTGACTAAGAACGAGGTATCAAATGGAAATTTCAGAATTTAAGGACAGAACCAGTAAGGAAAGAACAAAAAGCAATGCACCATTGGAAAAAAAAATCCTCTTTGATTTGTCAATAGGAACTTAAAAACCTCATGCATAGCCAAAAACAGAGATTTACAAAAGAAACCCAAAAGTTCATAGACTTTTCTCATCTCCACTAAAACCATTTCAGACAGCTCCAAAGAAGCTGGAAAAAAAGACACTTCTTTTTCATCATCTAATAAAATGAGGTAAACATTAAAAAAAAGAGGTAAACATTATAAATTAAAGAGGTAAACATTGAATGACTAGGGCAGTAGCAAGAAGGAACGGGAGTCCTCATACTAAGACCTAGACTCCTCCCACTGCTGTACCTACCGATACTTGTAGTGTAACAAGTGACTAGGTAGAACAGCTCTCTGCTGCTGTGTTCTTATAGTGTAAAAGAGATACAGTACTAAACAAAAGTGGCAATAAGAGACAAAGAATTAAAAGTGTAATCAAAGCGATCATGTGAACATATGATTACAGATATATTATATAACATAGCACTTATATATTTGCATACATAATTACTGTATAATTTTAAATTAAGAACAGAATTCATCTCTTAACAAGCAAGTATAATATGTAAACATGGAGTACACAAGAAAATGTAGAGTGGCAATATCTCTCCCTATTTGGCTAAAATCCTGCTATTTAATCATACCCTCTCTTTGTATATGAGCATCATATTGTTGCAACTTGTGCTTTCAAACAGATATTTTAGGCCAGTTTTTCTTTTACTTGTTCAGCCTATACTAACTCCTCATACTTTCAGTTCAAAATAAACTTTTGCAAATCTAAACTAATAAACACAGTGGTTCAAACTTTTGTTTCACCAAACTGCAATTGTTTTGTCATGGGAAACAATCATGCTATGACATGGAAGGCTCTGATTGTTTTCAAATCTCACTGGAGGCAAGATTTTATTAAAACATCTTTCTATCAGCAGATTTCTTAAGCACTATATGTGAAAATCGTATCAGGAAAGATCAGGACAGGATCAAAGAGGTCTCATACACACAAAATTCGCTGTCATTTCATTAGAAAATTGGAATATGACTTGCACTTACTGTAACGAGCAGACATTTGATTTCCTTAACACTTCCAAGGAATCCCATGGCTGATATAAAAGTTATGATAGATCCAATTCCAAGGAACATAAAAGAAACATATGCTACTAGCTGTTTATCACCTGAAGAAACTGCAATACAATGTATTTATGCTGTCACTTTTTATTTGAGACTTCAAGAAAAGTTACACCATAAAAACGATTAAATTTTTGTTATGTCATTACTGAAGAGATGAAAATAATAAATTGGTGACAGGACATTATTATTTAAGGTATCTACAGTCAGAGAAAGAAAAAGATATATGTTCATAAATTCAGTTTGCGTAACAACGTATTAGACGTGAGCAAAGAAAAATTAACTGAACAATATGAATGACTCCCAATGAAGTCAGAGAAAAATTAAAATTTCATAGATTTTCTTTGTTCAACAAAAATTAGTAGCACTTGTACAGTTCCTTCACGGACACAGATACATTTTTCATTAAATCCAGGCTTGGATTCCAAACAAGTCTCCCTCCCTTTCCATTTTAACTACTGCTGCAGAGATATGGAAAGTACGTGGGCTTTTTACCACTGTCGTCTCACACGCCTTGTCCCAAAATTACCTCCTGGCTGGGAGAACCGATGCTCCTTGGCACAATTGCAGGCAATTGTTTAAGGGTATGGCTGTTGTTAATAATGACCCAAAACTTATTTCTCCATGAAACAATTTCTTAAACACTCAGGGAAAAGCATGTGTCTAAATGAAGGGGCTGAAGCTCCGGGTGATGTCCATTCCACCCAAGTATCTGCTTTAATGATCTACAATCATGCTGTAGATCAAACACATTCTGATAAATTATGTAAAGAAAAAAAATAGAACTGTTTTATTTTTCAGGGATTCATCAGTAAGCCATACCAAGTGAATCATAAATATATAAATTGTAGATATGCTATATTTTTCCCTTTTCTGATAATTATACTGTATAATGATGGAAAATATACACAATTAAAAAATAATCTATGCATTTCAATCCAATACTGCCACCTGGTGAAACAAAATTATTTAGCTGCTTTGGTTTTATTGGTATATGATGCAGTCATACAAATATACATATGTATATATATATATATATGTGTGTGTGTGTGTGTTTATACTCACATAGCATACTGAATAAATTGTTTCTATCATATAAAAGCCAAAAGCCAAATTGCAAAAGCACAAGACCCAGAACCTGGAAATAACAAAGATTGTTTAAATTTAAACAATTGAAAAATATTTCATATTAAGCTGCCAAACAATCAAAATAAAAATGGATTTTTACCAAGAAAATTCCATTGAAGATGTTTAGAAAGTATTTCTGTATCAATATTTTATCTCTTATTTTCATTCTTCTGATTTTTGAATCACAACTGAAAATAGAATCATATATTAGTCAATATGAACGAATTACTGCGGGGCTTATTTATTTCAGATAATAGGTACATTTTTATATATGTAAGCAGTCACCTGACAAACTGAGAAAAAATTGGCAGCATCAAGAGAAACATCAACATGCTGTTAAGTCCTGATTTTCTCTAATGTTGTATTGTGCACGTTTTATTTTCCACCCTTTTTCTTTACTAGTTAAGATGTTTAGGGGCAGGATGTACAATCTATATTCAAGAGATGGCAAGCATTAGACAGCCTGTTGTACACCTGTCCCAAAATTCTTAAATACATTTAGCTTATTAATTTTTAATGACACTGTCTGAAATATACAAGCCTTATTGTGTCACATGGCTTGATTCAAATTTTGTTGAAAGTAGCAGAAACAGTCAAATGATTTCAATAAGAGTTGGCATACAGTTCTAGTAAAGTCATGAAAACTGTCTAACTATCAACTGTAGTTTCCTAAGCTCAGGAGTACCCTTTTGAAGTGAATCTCCCAGTCATCCCTACTTACTTACTTTCTAACTGCTTTTGTTGCAGAATGTAGTAGGTGAAAAACCTGGATTCCTTTCAAACGCAACCAAACCAAAAGATGTGCTCCATCGGTGATCAAGAGCAAATGGGCCTTCAGTCAATTAAGAACAAGTCTCCAGGTAATACAAAGAAAAATCCTCTGAAATACAAAGAAAGCATACATGACAATCTCATTTCCAACTGCAAGACTCTATCGGTTATATTAGTGTGCTGTAACCCTTGCAAACATAGACAGAACCCTTGTGAATTCATGCAGACATTTTATAATTCGAGCAGATTTTTGCATATTTCAGCAGTACAGATTCCCTTACATTTTAAACCCACAGAACTTTTTTTTTAAAAAAAAAAAATTTATTGGATTCCATAGCATGTTATAGACCTATTGAAATTCTTATCTAGGAAACTCATATATTTGTGCCCTGCCTCAAGTTGCCTTTCCCCTAGTCTTATGTCTTCTGTAAATATACTCCAGCAATCTTGTCTCCCTGCCTTTGTGATACAAAGTGAGAAAACTCAGAGTGTTAGAAAATGATTTTTACAAATACAGCCTACTGCAATTGCCCTACACTTACGAACCTCTCACACACACGCAAATGTGCATGCACATGTGCACATAACCGGTATGGGCATGCTCCTCAGAAAATATGTTCTAATATAAAGATATATCAGCATGTAATGTTTGAAAGAAAATTCTGTGGAATTGTATAAAGTTCTTGTCTTTTATCAGAATTACCACAGATAGACTGCAAGAAGAAGTTACGTCTTGTGTTACTCACAAAAAAAAAAAAAAACAAGGGTCACAGATGAAGCTTCTATAATTAAAATATATCTCTGATTAACAATTTCACTCACACACCAAATTTGTTTGTTAAAAAGACAAGATTCAGCAAACACAAGCTTTTGCTTTCCTTTTCAAGATTCTCACTTGTGGATTATAAAACTTTAGCTATAGGATCGCAGAGGGAAGAAAATTACAAGCTTATCAAAATAGTTCATAATGGATTTGGGTCTATAACACATCATGTAAATTTATGAAGCATATTAGACAATGAAGTAATTATGCAGTTGCAATGCTTTATTTTTGGGGTACTTTAATAACAATTACATTTCTCTCACATTTTTCCTCCTAAAGATACAAATATGATCTTCATAAAAGCATGTATACTGCTTTTATGTACTTCATAAGAAACTCCTTACTAGCTCTGAATATTTCCATCTCATTTTAAAGAGGACAATCCTATAATGGTATCTCTTCCTTAAGTACCTCTTAAACACATATCTACTACACAGAAGTTTTCTTCTGTTGATCCTGACTTACTTCCTGGTTGCATGTCTACAGAAACATCTTTTTCCCTAAGCTCTGTGAATTGTCTGATAAACGTATTATGCAATATCTGTGGTTTCCAACCACCATGACGATAGTGTAACTCACATTAGAAAACAAATATCAAGTGTACATTCATCTGTGTTTTACTGATTTTTTTCTTACTTCTAAGTGATCACACAAATAATTTTTCTAGTTATATGATTCTATAAATTATTTGACATCACAGGATGGATTTCAGGTGTAAAAGCATTCATAGTTTAAAGATTTTAACAACTTATTGATATATAATGCAAGTAAGAAAATGTTAATTTGTTGTCTTTGAATGCAGCATCTTGAGTTTGATGGAAGTCACCGTGAGATGGAAAAAAAAAATCCTATAATCTCTGACAGTTTATCTGAATAGTTAATACCCCCAATATTCACAAAAGTGCACTTTTCTATTTAAAATGCATCCATCCAACTTTCAGCTTTTTTTTCCCCCTGTTATACCTGTGGCTGTGGCTTTGTACTCCTAATCTGGCCTTTAAAATGTATTCACTCTGTCCCAATTCCCAATTTATTTTTTGCTAGACTAAGTTAACATGGACTATTTAATTAAAAAAAAAGGCAAAAAAAAAGAGCAAATCACATAGCTATTCACTTTTTCCCTCACTTTACACGCAGAAATTGCATTAGATCTCTCTCTCTTTTTTTTTTTTCCCCCTGCTCTGTTTGCAGTGAAGTATGTACTTGAGTTGCTGGGCTGCTGTGGACTCTCTAATCCTTCTCAGATTAATTAGTCCTAGAACAGAGTTTTCCAAATCCCTTGAATTTGGTAGGTCAAATTCCCAGACTGAAATTAAAACACCCTTTATTTCCAGCTGCTGAGGGGACCCAAATATGTTAAAACAGAAAAACAGAAGAGATAACTGCCCGGTTTCATTTTTCATGAAATATGCCTCTCTAATAATAATAATAATAATGGGGGGGAGGTATTTTAATCTACCTCTAAGATAATTTATCTATTTTATCTTTTGTCTCCTTTTATGCTCTTTTGCCAGGCAGATAAACTAGGGTGTTCCTGAGGTAAGAGCTGGTGAGGACACAGAGGAACATCAGCCTTGTGTTAGTTCACCTTATCTCAAAGGAACAGTAAGGAACCCAGTCTGTCACATAGATAACCAGCCAAAATAAATATTTGTGTTTTAAATATTTCTCCGGCTACGGCTATACTTTTGGTTCACTTTTCAAGCTATTTAGGCAGTTACTTTTAAACCCCCTCGGTTGCAAAATCCTGAATGTTGACGACTGCAGAAGAATTACAGAATTAATGTATTTTTAAACTTGTGCTTCCTGGACACCCCTATTAAAATAAAATAAAAATATAAAATATGAAATTAAACAATAAAATAAAATGATATAACAATAAAAGCCCCGCCCCGCGGAGCCCAAACCGGCAGCTCCTCACTAGTTTGGCTCCCGCCGCTCGCCATCGGCGCCGCTTGTTTCCCGTTGCCGTGGTTACCGGCGGTGCAGCCAGGCCGTGGGGAAGCGCTCGCTGCCTGCGCGCAGCGCCCGGAGCGGGGAGCGCCGCGGGATTTCGAGGCGGAGAGAGACGGGGGGTCTCCGGGGGCGGCAGCGCCGGTAGCAGCGCGGCTGAACGGGAAGTGAGTAGCCCGCTGGAACAGGTTGGGGAGCCCCACGGGGTGGGAGTGCTCCAGTGGGGGGGAGGACTACAGCTCCCAGGATGCCGAGGGTGGCGCCCATCGGCCACGCGCGCCCGTGTCCCGCGGTGCATGCTGGGAGTTGTAGTCCTACCCCGCCGCGGGGCGCTCGGTGTTCCGCGAGAGCTACCTGGTACTCTGGTACTCATTATGCAACTATTTTGGCAAACTGAGTGTTGAAAGATATGTGTGTGTGTACATATATGTGTATGTATGTATATATACACATACAGTATACTCTCTATGTGTGTGTGTGTATATTTGTGTGTGTGCATATGTATATTATTTCTTTTTCAGTTCTCAGCAGGTATTAAACTCACATGTGAGGCATGGTGTGCTGCACTGTTACCATCCACAAGGACTAGAAAGCAGGCAGAGGTTTTTTAATATTACAGTTTGGTTACACCTATAAAACTCATAGAATCAACAATATCATAGGGATTTTCTTACCACAAACTAACCTTTGTTCTCTTCTCTTCTCTTCTCTTCTCTTCTCTTCTCTTCTCTTCTCTTCTCTTCTCTTCTCTTCTCTTCTCTTCTCTTCTCTTCTCTTCTCACAAAGTGTTCTTCAGAACAAACTTCTGCTGTTCCTTTTCATGGTTTAGGTCTATGGTTGAATAAACGTAGGTTGGAGTACTCTTACACTGATTGAACGTGCTCTTTGGTTTATGTGGGGTTAAAAGCTAATGTTTTTTTTTGTGTATCACTGAAAGCAATGGAAAATGGAAAACAGAATGTCAGAAGATGTTGAAAGAATTGAAAAAGAAATAGAAATTGAATTGAGCAGAATCAGTGTTTCTCCCTTTGAAGCAGATGATCCTGACACGGACTTATCAGAAGAAGCTTTGAGTGACAGTGACACAGTAAGTGTTCAGTGGACTAAAACTTCTGTTACCTGCTGTTGGAAGCAGTGTAGGTATTGGAAGCCTATCTGATGGACCTACTTTATCCCGATATATCTAACCAGAGGATTCATTCTGAGAGTTTAATTAGCGCTGGCAATACAATAAAATAGATGAGCATCAGCATTCTGCTCTAGTGAGAAGATCAGATTTTGCCCCATCACGATTTATTTTATAATCCTTTGAAGCTGGAAGATGTTTTAAGTTAATGAGCTAGATGAAAATTTGAATAAAAAAAAATGCTTCCTTGGTTTAAATATTGCAGAAGATTATATGTTTGAAGACATACTGTTATTTCTTTAGTTTTTTTTTTTTTTCTGAAGTCTGCTTAATTTTGGGGGGGGTCTTATCCTGCTATTGCACTCTTTCAGACTCGTATCTTATGGACTGCTTTGTAGGGTGTCTGAACAATTGATACTGGTTGTATGTGACCGTGAACCAATGAAATCATGATAGGTTAGGACATCAGTGGTAATTATTTATGTACTTACAC